TAACTTGGCCTCTTATCCTTACAAAACTTACTTTTATTCCTTCAGAATCCAGAAGAAATCAGTCTGTTACCTGTGCTCTGCATCTTATTCCTTCCCTGTTGGCAATGGCTGCTTTGCTAGGAATATGTTTAGGATATGACCAGGAAAGAAGTACATGAATAAATGTACCTAAAGTAACTATGGTAGAATTAACTTGGGACAAATGTGTATTAAGGAGAGTTTACTCAACCTTGATAGTGTTAGGGAGGGTTCTCTGAAGGCCTGCAATTACCAAAAGTTTATACCTACCAAAACCAGTATCATCGGTTAATTGGCATGTGTGTGCATGGCCATATTTTAGATGTTATACATAATGTTTTTACGGTGTAAGCTGGTTCCATTACTGATCCCATCATCTGATGATGGAAGACTTTGAGTTAATGAGAAACAAAGAAAACTTGAACAGCAGCTTTTATTGCTATCTTTATTTGGTTGTCAGATTCTGGATTTATTAAGGGTTACAGTAGTGCATTTATTTAAATCATCTCCATATTTTTGGATCGGAATTATAGATTATAATTATTGTTTAAAATAGGTTCTGTTTTAGCATTTTGGTCCAAAAACATTTTGTAACATTTTGATATTTGGATATTTTATTTCTTTGCACTTGATTTAAGTTATGAAATTAATCTTATCACATTTTAATTTAAAACTTAAATTCTGGAATTCTAAGAAATGATATAATCTAATTCAAAAAAATTGTCTCAGAAAATAGTAGATTTCATAGAAAATACTACTTAATGTCAGTAAATTATCATTGTTGGTTTCTCACATGGTACTTACTATTAGAATTCTTTCCAGTGCTTCAATGTAACATGTGATGTTCTTTGTCCAGTTAAAAATAGAGGGATGGGAAGGATGGAGAAGAGATAATTTTATTGGAATTTTGTTGCTCTGAGGAAACCAAACTTGAGTAAATCTATCATTTTCCAAGGAGTAACACTTAATGTTTATACTTATTCTGGAACCCTAGATTGCCATAATGCTTTTGCCTTGCTTGTGAGGCCACCAACAGAGCGGGCAAATGTGCTGCTCAGTTTCCAGATCACATCAGAGGAACTTCCAAAAGAAAACTGGCTAAAGATGCTATGTCGACATGTAGCCAATACCATTTGTAAAGCAGACGCTGTAAGTTCTTAAACAACTATTATAATGAAAGTTTTAACTTCATTGCAATGCATTCAGACTAACCCTGTACATTTCTAATGACTTGGTAATTATGAATGTAGGAGAGTTTGTTTTATGTGAATTGAGGAAAACTGGTTTAAAAAATTGGTTTGGGAAAGATTTTTTAAAAGTATAGACACACGAGACATTTTGAGTCCCTAGCTTACAGATAGGTCCTCAAAGCCTAATAGCTCCTGTGCCTTTCTGACTGAGTGAGGCTTTTGGGACTTGTTCTAGTACTCTGTGATTTTTATTGGTGCTCTTTGACCTGGCTATTTGTAAAATAGAGGGAATCTTGTTTCTATTGTTCTTTTATCTTGTTGAAAGCAATAGGTGAGTTGTAGCAAGTTGTTCTGTCAGGCCTGTTGCCAGTCCAGTTTTCTGAGCCCAACCTCTGAAAATGAAATACCATTATGAATATATAATTATCTTATACAGCTTAAAGTGCAGATACATGAGAAAATCAAATTATTAAAGTTAAATGACTCACAGAAATCAGATAGCCTGTAGTAGATCTTGGATGAAATCTAGATCCCTTAAGAAATAATTTGATTTCTTCATTATAAATGGGAGAGACATGTAATAGACAGATATAGACCCTTTCATCTTTATACAAATGACATAGAGGAGAATGCATTGATAAACGACCGTTTTCAGCACAGTAGTACTATAATGAAGATTGCCTTGGACATTCCTGTTGGACTAAAATGTTTATTGTAGTTAAGTCTGACTTTGAAGGCTATTAAGGTATAATTATAATGGTTTATAGAGTAGGTAATATTTGAATAAAACCTCCTACCTAAATGTTGAGAACAATTAACAGACCTTCCCCCTTTATTTAAAAAGCAGGAGATTTAAATTTCTTTTTCAGTAAATGACATGACAGGGAAAACCAAAGAATAAAATCCTGAGATTGACTAATTTGTTCTAATTGTCATTTATAGAACACTTCATCCAGCATGATGTTTTTGTTTTCTTAATTTCTATGGGCCAACAATATGTTGTTATAAATAAAGGATTGTTCCACAGAAAGGTTCGCAGAAGGCTAGTGCATACAACAGTGCTGGCTAGAAAAATGATGAAGACAGCTTTTGTTATAAAGCTTACAAAAGTGTTCATTGTTAGGAGGAATTTGTTTTCCACAGGTCTAAGTATGCATATATAAAATGGATCCTTGTAGTATAGTGACTGCCTGTTGTAGAAATTACTCCTACATTTATTATGTCAGACTACATGGCTTATGAAGACCTTTCCAAATTTATAACCATAATACTGAAGTGCTGTTAATGGAAAATTTTCCTTAAAATGTAGTCTATTGAATTACTAGCCACAGGATGGCTAATCATTCTAGAACTAAAATATAAACAGCTAATGGAAAAATTTCATATGTTAGCCACAAGATGGCAGCAAACATTTAACTATGTCCTGATTTATACTTAAACCACAAAATTCTTTGAAGTTGTGAAATTTTGTTACTAAGAAATATTTTGTAAATTGAGATATTCTCACTGACTTCAGTTGAGCTCTTTCCCACATTTAAAATACTACACATAGGGCACCTGGGTGGCTCAGTTGGTTAAGTGACTGCCTTCGGCTCAGGTCATGATCCTGGAGTCCCTGGATCGAGTCCCGCATTGGGCTCCCAGCTCAGCGGGGAGTCTGCTTCTCCCTCTGATCCTCCCCCCTTCGTGCTCTCTCTCTTTCTCTCTCTGTCTCTTGCAAATGAATAAATAAAATCTTTAAAAAATATATAAAATACTACACATAGTAAATTTTAAAAAGCCCTGAGTTGATGTCTTACCATTTGATAACATTTGCCTTGATAACAAGAAGAGTATTTCTAAATACACACACACACACACACACACACACACACACACAATGTAACAAAAATTTCTTGATTCTTTCAATCAGTAGTTTTTGTCCTTCTATTACACATTTTGGGTTCCCTAAACAACTGGAGCTTACAACTGTTTTATTCTATACTGTTTCATTCTTCTTGCCCATTTATAAATGACTTAAGAATTTTTAAGCTGAAATAAAACCTAATCTAATCTCATTATTTTACATGTGAAATTAAGGTCAAGAACATAAAGCTTACATTAGAATCCAGGTATTCTCATTCTTGGTTAAACCCTTTTGTATATCTTTTCTCCCCATGGATATGGTGTCCCATATTTTAATTTCGAATTTAAAGATTAGAGTTTTAATCTGTTGAGAGCTTTATCTCTCAGAATACTTAGGTTTATATTTTTGGTCTCTTCCAGTATGTAACCTTTAAATGTATGGTCCATACTCTTAAAGTTCATATATTGTCTAAGGTCAGATAGTAACTTTCTGATGCCATTGCAGATTTCTAATCTCAAATATCAAAAGTATAATCTATGAACAAGTGGATTTAAGCAATGTTATTCTTTCACTCCCCCTACTTTGAATAGTTTAGAGGAAGTAACTTGATAATTAAATGCCCAGTGCTAGAGTTCAGGTCTTTTACTACTAATTCTTCATATTTCTTTTAAAAATCAAGTTTTTACATCTTAGTCTAATCACTACTGGCTACCTTAAAGTAGCAATATTCATTCTTAGAGATTCTAGTTACAAGTTTAAGAACTAACTACATGAAGAATAGACTGAAAGTAGAACATATATGAAAAGAGTTAGTGCTTCTGAGCTGAAGATATTTATAATGGAGTTAATATGATTTGTACTTAATTCTGCTGGTTATTAGTCATCCATAATAAGTTGTTAATATAAATATCTGTTATTGGTGTACTCCTTTAATTTGGCCAAAGCCGAAGCTCTGAGCTATAAATATGATTATAGAGCTTGAGGAAATCACTGAGGCATAAGCTAAGGTGAGGGGCACCATGATACTAGTTATTTTTACTTTAGCATGTGCATTTGAGGACTAGTGGGAGAGGAGAGCTTAGGGAAAAAAGGGTCTGATAACTCACATGTGGGTAGTAGGCTCATTAGCTTAAGATGTCAGAAATGCTGGAAGATTTCTTTTGAATTAACACCCATGAATAAATCTGTAGCTGAGATTCAGTTTCTCCTGAAATTAATATTGTATCTCTCAGTGGGAGAAATCGATTACTACTTTCTAATCTTAAACTCTGCAGCTCTGTCTTTAGAACTAGTCTTAGGTACATGTGGATTTGGGGCTTATTGAAGAACTCCTTCCCTTTCTAGTCTTTAATCCTTGAGATATGTTGACTAAATCATGAAATGTTTTTAGAATTATATTAGTATGTTACTAAAAATGAGTTTTAGTTCTGGTATAAATTTTATTTCTTATTTTATTTTTTTAATTTTTTTTTTAAGATCTTATTTGTTTGCGAGAGAGAGAATGAGAGACAGAGAGCATGAGAGGGAGGAGGGTCAGAGGGAGAAGCAGACTCCCTACTGAGCAGGAGCCTGATGTGGGACTCGATCCCGGGACTCCAGGGTCATGACCTGAGCCGAAGGCAGTCGCTTAACCAACTGAGCCACCCAGGCGCCCTATAAATTTTATTTTTATTTTATTTTGGAAATTTAGAGGAATAGAGTAAGGTTTTTTTGGAGGGACTTGCTTTTACTGGTACTTATTTTTTAAAAAGTGGTATATGGTAATGCAGTATTTTATTCTATTAATAACTAATGTTTGAGAACATTTATAATATTAATGGAACTTAATCTAAGTTCACCTTTTTTTTACATTTCAGTATTGAGTATTATAAAAGATAGTAAAAATAATTATGGTCAAAATTATTTCATCAAAAACTTTAAATGCTTGGTGTTAGTCTTCATACAATTTAGTTTTTGCCATAAAGTTCTTTGGCCGCAAAAAAGAACATTTGGTTTACTTCACTAATAGGAATATCTCTTAAGGTTGAGCTGGCATCTTCTTGGTATTTCTTCTGCTGTTGATTTTTAGCATAGTTTTCTGTGATTGTATACATGGAGTTGAGTGGAGAGGTACTCATCAGGTTTATCCCAAATAAGAGTACATAACCGATTACTATAGTAATGAGGAGGTAGACAGGCAGTGCAAATGCCCGGTATTTTTGAGGCCAATAGGTTAAGCCTAAGGAGTTTAGCCAAGATTCAGGAATAAAAGCCCACAGAAGAGATAGTATGAGGGCGCCTGGGTGGCTCAGTTGGTTGAGCGACTGCCTTCGGCTCAGGTCATGATCCTGGAGTCTCGGGATCGAGTCCCGCATTGGGCTCCCTGCTCAGCAGGGGGTCTGCTTCTCCCTCTGACCCTCCCCTCTCTCATGTGTTCTCTCTCTCTCATTCTCTTTCTCAAATAAAATAAATAAAATCTTTTAAAAAAAAAGAGAGAGACAGTAATTGAGAGCTTAAGAAAAGAACAAAGCCGTAAATCACTCTTTCTGGCAATGGTGATGGTGAATATCCCACCATTTCCCTGCAGCTTTAGACAGTCTCAGTGTCCAGTCCCCTGCGGAACTGCCTGTCTAGGAAGCCTCAGGGGGGGCGAGAGAGGAAAACCTTGGGAAAAGACCAGGTCACGCCAGTACCCCAGAGTAAGGTTTTTCAGTATTTGGAAGAGAGAATGGGAGCTGTTAATAAGACAAGAAGACTAGTAGAAAAAACCTTGGAATAATGAAGAGAAGTTTCTCCTGCTTTACATTTTTGTCTGTGATTTGCCCTATTTACCTTCCTCTGTGTAGAGAGAACTAAAGGAAGTACTTCATCTTTACATCTTAGCAAACAGCTATATTGTCTTTTCAGCCACTAGAACCACCTAGTTGCTTACTTTTTCATTCATTCTGCACCCAGAGCTTCTAGAAATGTAAAAGACCTCATGTAAAAGACCGTAACCAAATTAGAAGTAATTTATTTGTTCCTTGAAAAAACAGGAAGCCATCTGCTCTCTTTTCAGCTCATAGGTTGTTATATGCTTAATAACAGTTAAGATAGCAATAGAAAAGTATCTCTTTTATTAGCAACTGCTTAGGGATTTAATTTTATATTCATATTATGAGTTTTACTCTCTAATTGAAATAGAAAAATAATATTTGCACATAAGAAAAAATCAAATAGAGAAAAGTATACTCCAGTAAATTATATGCACCTGTCCCACTAGTCTTTTTTATAGCAGTGCAACTTTTGATACTTTCATCTATCTTTCCAGAAAAAAGAGTGCAGACACATGGATTTCTGGTTAGATGTATTCCTAGGTAATTTTCTCTCTATAATTCCATTTATAAATGAGATATTTTAGCTAAGTTGTTTTCTAATTGTTTTGTATGTAGGTTAATCTTTGATATGTATGTCAGTTTTATAACCAGTCACTTTTGTTAATTCTCTTACAGCTTCTAATTGTGTCCCACCTAATTCTATTGGATCTTTCAGTGTTTAATTTTTTTCTTGTTTTTTTTTTTTTAAGATATTTATTTATTGAGAGAGAGAGAGAATGGTAGAGAGAGAGAGCATGAGAGGGAGGAAGGTCAGAGGGAGAAGCAGACTCCCTGCTGAGCAGGGAACCCGATGCGGGACTCGATCCTGGGATTCCAGGATCATGACCTGAGCCGAAGGCAGTCGCTTAACCAACTGAGCCACCCAGGCACCCAGTGTTTAATTTTAAGATTTATTTATTTATTTGAGAGAGAGAGAGAGTGTGTGCATGAGCAGGAGGGGCAGAGGGAGAGGGAGAGACAATCTCAAGCAGACTCCACGCTGAGGGCAGAGCCCAATGTGGGGCTCGATCTCACAACCATGAGATCACAACCTGAGCTGAAACCAAGAGTCCGATGCTTAACTGACTGCACCAACCAGGCACCCCTTCAGTGTTTCATTTTTTAAAAATGTCTTGGGTTGATCATTTTAGAGTGAGCATTGATGAATTACTTTGTACTTTGAAAACAAAACATCATGAAGGAAAAGATATTTGTGTCAAAACATCCTTTTTCTGAATTTGCTTCTGTATCTAGGAACATAAAAAAGTTCTATCAAATAGGTTTTTAATATATGTATTTGTTGATTGAATGAAAGCAAATTTGAAATGAAATCAAATGAAACTAAAATTGTAAATGAAATGAGAACAAAATCAAATTCATAAAACTAAAGTTACACCTGTGCTTGGTTTATGGTGTCATATGTATAGCAATGTAGGAAATGTGATCCCTCTATTATAAGATGTAGGAGATGTTAATGCAGAACCTTGCCAGGTGTATGTGAATGGGGATAAGGGAGACTCAGGGATAGGCAGAGCTTGAATCACGGTCCTGACTACTTGGTTTCTCATAGATTGTTAAGAGATATTAACTACTCAGTTATTTCCAATGATTGTCTAACAAAAACCAATTGAAAAGTATTAGAACTTGTAACAGCTTAGTTCAGCCAAATAAAAAATACATACATATTAATAGTTTTTCTTTTTTTTTAAAGACTTATTTATTTTAGAGAGCGCATGAGAGAGCGTGGTGGTGGGGGGGAGGGCATGAGCAAAGGAGAGAGAGTCCTAAGCAGATTCCCTGCTGAGCATGGAGCCCAACACGGGGCTCGATTTCATGACCCTGAGATCACAACCTGAGCCAAAACCAAGAGTTGGAGACGTAACCGACTGCACCATCCAGGTGCCCCTCAGTAGTTTTTCTCTATGCTGGCAGTAACTAACTAGAAAGTATAGGAAAGGAAGACCCCTCTTTCCAATAAAACTTGGTATAAATTTAGGAAATTTTAGTATAAATCTAGGAATAGCCTTGTAAGAAATAAATGAAAGTTTTCTATTTTAAGAAAACTATATAATACTTTACAAAGAAATCTGTGATGTTCCTAAATGAGAATGCGGACTAGCATAAAGATGTCAATTCATTGTAGTTCTTATAAAATCCTACAGGAAATTTTGGATTTTGACAGAATGATTCCAAAGATAATTTTTAAACAAAAAGCAACAATAAAAAAGTAAAGAACAGTACTTCTTTTATGAGATATTACATTGTATTTTTAAAGTTACAACGATCAGAACACTACTGCACAACGAAAAGAATAAATGTTCTTGAAATAAGACTTTATTGTATGATAAATATAGTACTTTAACAATTTAATAAGATTGTTAACATATGGTGCTATGATAGTTGGTTAAATACATAGGAAAAATTAGATGTATATCCTAACCTTATATCCATATAAGTTTATAGGTAGATTTGCGAGTTAAAAGTGAAACCATTTCAAAAACCTTTAAGAAAATGTAGGTGTAGGTGGTGAATGTTGAATCTGGTTTTTTTGTTTTGTTTTGTTTTGTTTGATGTTGAGTTTTAGGCATTCTCTATATATTCTGGATATTAATCCCTTCTCAGATATATCAGATAAATGATTTATATTTTCTCCCATTCTGTGGATTGCTACCTATTTTACTGATAGTGTCTTTTGCACAACTTTTACCAATTTTTATGAAATCTAATTTTTCTGTTTTTCTTTTGTTGCCTCTGTCTCTGGTGTTATATCTAAGATAGCACTGTTAAATCTAGTGTCTTGAGGCTTTTGACCTATGTTTTCTTTGTCTTAAAGAGTTTTATAGTTTTTAGCTCTTATATTTAGATCTTTGATCCATTTTGAGTTAATTTTTGTGTGTGCTGTAAGGTAAGGATCCAACTTTATTCTTTTGCCTGTGGATATCTAGTTTTCTTAGCACCATTTGTTGAAAAGACTGTCCTCCTTTTCCTACTGAATAGTCTTGATGCCCTTGTCAAATCATTTGACCATATTACTGAGGGTTTATTTCTAGGCTCTCTATTCTGTTTCATTCCATTTCTATTCTGTATCTTATGCCAGTACAGTACCATTTTGATTATAGTAGTAGGTGTTTTTTCTTTTTTTTTAAAGACACATTTATTTTAGAGAGAGAGTGTGTGAGAGGGTGGGAAGAGGGGCAGAGGGATAGGGAGAGGGAGACTCCAGCAGACTCCCCACTGAGGGAGGAGCCCGACGTGGGGCTCAGTCCTATGACCCCAAGATCATGACCTGAGCTGAAATCAAGAGTCAGATGCTCAACCAACTGAGCCACCCAGGCGCCCCTTAATAGTAGGTTTTTAAACCAAGAAGTTTGAGACTTCCAACTTTGTACATTTTTTCCAGGATTGTCTTGGCTATTTGGAGTCACTTGTGATTCCATATGAATTTTGGAATGAATTTTTTTTTTCTTTGCAAAAAAAGTCACTCGGATTTTGATAGGGATTTCATTGAATCTGTAGATTGCTTTGGGTACTATTGACATGTTAATATTAAATCTTCCAATTATTCAAGTATTTTTTAATTCCTTTCAGCAACAACATTTTGTAGTTTACAGTGTATGTCTTTCATCTCTTTAAGTTTATTCCTAAATATTTTATTTTTTGATGTTATATTTGTTTCTTAATGAGAAGAAAGTAGAGGCTCTTTGTGTTAAAAAATAATGAAATAATAAAATTAATTCTCATATAATCAGAGGAGACTTTTATCATCTGTTCATTAATAGTAATTACTTTGAGTATCTAATGATAATGGAAAAAAGCCATAATACAGAGCTAATTGAAAAATATAAGATATAAAACTGAATAGAACCACTCTAATTTTATTAAAATAAAACATTTATGCATATAAAAATATATGTAAGAAATATGTTTAAATGTAAATAGCAAATGGCCAGGACACTTGTGGTTAATTTTTCTTTCAAATTTTCTATAATGGAAGTGTGTGTGTGTGTTTTTGTTTTTTTTGTTTTTTTGACTCAGGAAAAAAATTAAAACATTTTAAAAAGTTACTGATGATTACAAGTACTGTTACCTGATTAAGATTCGGTAAGTGACTGAGTCTTTCAGCAGGTGGACGAAGTGGAAAGAGAGGGTCTGGAGCAGGCAGGGCGGACTTGCTTGTTTTAAGAAGCTTTGGCAAAACCAAGCCTGTCTATGTGGATGTCAATGGCAGAGAGCCAAAGCAAGCAGTTATAATTGTAGAATATAATATTTAAGACTATTTGTTTGCAAGGGGGTTTAACATTTTATTTCAAAGGACTACTGTGCATTATCTTGTTTCATGACTCCTGTGGGTTAAGTATACAGATATTTTCTACATTTTGCATGTGAGAACATTTTCAGAAAAACCAGTATTCACAAGGTTGTATAAAATTCTCTCTAGCCACAGAATGACAGTGGTGGAGGATAGTCTTAATAGTGCTAGACTAGTGGGGAAACTTACTGATTCATGACCTAGATCTATAAATTTAAAGTGCAAATTGGTTATAGGAGTATGCAAAGACATTTTGTCTCACGTGCTTTTTTCCTCAAAAAGCCCAAATGTAATTTGAGTAAGTGATATTTTGGATTACTTGGAGATTAGTTGTCTCATTTAAGGTTAATTTTGATCGGTGGTTCTTGGCCTATCTGAAATCTTTGACTCCTTTTAGAATGTAACAAACTATG